AGAGAGAGAGAGAGAGAGAGAGAGAGAGAGAGAGAGAGAGAGAGAGACAGAGACAGACAGAGAGAGGGAGAGAGAGAGAGAGAGAGAGAGGTAGTTTAGTTTATTCAACAACAGTAAACAGAATATTTATTTTAACATGAATTCTGTAAATGACACATTACGGTTCATTCATGAGCATCAGTTGTCATCTGTTACTGTGGTGATCACACACACACACACACACACACACACACAGAAGGAAATAACTGCACTATGTTTGACCCACATAACTGTGTGTGTGTGTGTGTGTGTCTCACTAAAAACTGCATCAGTCGCTGTCTGAACTCTTAGAAGCTGACGTAATTTATCTTCTGTAAAACCAAACGCTTTAATCAAACTTAAATAATGAAGTAGAAGTAAGAGTAAGAGTATAAAGGACTTCCTGTGAAATTTGAATACCAGTTTCAAAACAACTGAAAAAATATATAAGAAGGAGAAGAAGAAGATAAAATAAATAACAATGTAATTAAAATTAAAATAAATAAATACTGATCATAATAATTGATCTCTTTGAAACCTGGACTACCGTCACTAGATTTTAAATAAAGTTTTATCCTTTTGAACAGCTTGTATGAAGATGAACTCGGGACCCGGAGGAGTTCAGGAACCTCTCGGCCTCCAGAGAGCTGAACCTCTGGAGGATTACGTAACACTTCCTGCTAAATGCTCCTCCAATGAGACGTGACGCATGTCACTGAAGGTCGCCGCCCACGACAACACCTACATCCTGTCTGCGAGTCAGGGAAGCACGAGGCAACACACATGCAAGACACACACACACACACACACACACACACACACACACACACACAGCTTCCGTTGGCTGCTGTGGGTTGCTGTGGCAACATTTCCGAGGCAACTAAGTGCTCCTTCCTCCTCTTCCTCCTCCTCTTCCTCACCTCCTCGTCTGAGCATCAGGACGACTGGTTCATGTTCTTCATGGTCAAAATATAAACTTATCAAAACTGTGGAGTCGTTTTCATTCATGTATTTAGTTATTTAGCAGATAACAAGAAGAAGTACTTCATAAGTTTTATATATATATTTTATCACAGTTGCTCTGAAGGCAGAATTAATATTATAGAGATGAAAACAAGTATCCTCGTACAACGGTTTGTATATCTTACCAAAAGTTACGCCTCTTTTTTCGGGTGTTTTTCTAGAAATGTGCTCGTTACTTGAATACAGCCTTTTCAAAATAAACTGCCGTCTTTATAGGAAATAACTTAGTTAGGTTTGAGAAAAGATCGTGAAATACTTAGTATTGGAAAAAGATCGTGAATTACTTAGTTAGGTTCAGGAAAAGATCGTGAAATACTTAGTTATTATTGGAAAACATCGTGAAATACTTAGTTATTATTGGAAAACATCGTGAAATACTTAGTTATTATTGGAAAAGATCGTGAAATACTTAGTTATTATTGGAAAAGATCGTGAAACACTTAGTTAGGTTCAGGAAAAGATCGTGAAATACTTAGTATTGGAAAAGAACGTGAAATACTTAGTTACGAGTTAGTTTTGCCGTCTTTACACTACTTAGTTCATGATTACGGGATTAACAAATTAACAGGATATCTACGAATTTTTTTTCGTGACACCAGCTTGATGCACAACATCTGTCTTTTCAAAAAGCTGATCTCCAATTTATCCCACGGAGTTAAACATCATGATGTGGAAGAAAAACACTGTTTGTGAAATATAAAATCCTTCTTCGTTTTCTTCTCTTTCTTCTTCTTCTTCTTCTTCTTCTTCTTCTCTTATATAACAGTGGTATCGGGTCCAGTAGGTGGAGGTGAAGAACACCTCCAGGCGTGCAGCTGCTGTGTTTGTCCTCCTGATACTCTAACCTCCTGCCTGATGGGGAGAAGACTGTGAACAAGTATTAAAATAAATGTAATCCCCGGTGACACGGAGCCTTCAGCTACGGTTTCATGAGATGAAACCAAGACTTCTTAAACTGAACTGTACTCTAACTGTCTGAGAGCTGCTGGAGAGCAAATACAGTGGAAGACAATGGGCTCCAACCACCTCTCATATAGAGCAGAATACAGACTTTATAGTTCTCTATTCTCTTTTGTACTTCTTTTACTGTCTCTATGCCATCATTTTAGATTTCTTTTTAGTCTTTTTGTGTCTCTTTGGGGTTATTTTAGTGTCTTTGTCATTATTTTGTGTGTCTTTGTCGTTTCAGTCTTTTGTAGTCATTGTGGGTCTCTTCGTAGTCATTTTGTGTCTCTTTCTGTCTCTTGGTAGTTGTCCTGCTTCTCTTCGTAGTCTTCTTGTGTGTTTCTTTGTGTTCATAGTGAGTCTCTTCCTGGTGTGTAAGTGTCTCTCTGAGGGACATTTTGTAGCTGAAGGCCAGAGGGGCCCCTGACACCTTGGGCCCCTCTGGCCTTGTACTCATTGGATGGAACCAAACAGATGTCATGTGGTCTTAAATTAATCTGTAATAACTTGTAATTAAAATAATCAGGTGACTTCGAAGAACCTGGAACTTGTGAAATAGAAATGTATACGTGCAATGTGTGTGTGTGTGTGTGTGTGTGTGTGTGTGTGTGTGCATAAAGGAAACTCATAACGTGCCTGAGCTGGTATGTGTGTCTTTTTCCCCTGATGCCATAGCAGTGACACGATGTGTGCTCTGACATGAGCGTGTGTGTGTGTGTGGGGGGTGGGGGGGTGGGGGGAATTGTTATCTGAGATGGTAGATATGTGTATGTGTGTGTGTGTGTGTGTGTGTGTGTGTGTGTGTGTGTCTTTAGCACATGATATCAGAGTGGAGTTACGCAAAGCACTGATTCATAATTCAGATGTCTGAGTGTTGAACGGCTGCGGACTCCATCACTGTTTCCACACACACACACACACACCCACACACACACACACACACACACGGTACTCACACTCTCCTCCTTGACCTTCTCCATGGTGCAGGCAGGCAGCTGCCCCTGCAGCGAAGGTGGGGAAACCCCGTTCTGGTCAATTGCAACAAAAAGCTTCCCGTTGACGTTTAGAGTTGGATAGAATACCTGGTAAAACACACACACACACACACACACACACACACACACACACACACACACA